CTGCCTCAGCTCTGCTTCAGGAAGTTGCTGATATTAACTTTGGATTTGAAGGATTAGAAAAGATGGAGGACAGAAATGGTGAGCAACCTTAGTGACTGCAGCTGGACCTCATTATTAGGAGAGAAAGTTCTAAGTTACAATTTGGTTCATATTGGTGCAAACTACAATATCAGCTGTGAAGAACTTTAATTGCCAATATATAATTTCTAGTTCCTCTTTAGGCCTTTTTCCTCTTCCAGATCCAATAAACAGTAGAAGTTGAATTCTAATCACTTTAGCAGCTAAATGTTTTTGCTGGGTTAAGAGTTTAATGAGGTCATTTTAGTAAATAAAAACCCAGGTGACATCTAAACTAGTGATTCAATCAGTAAATATCTGATGTCCCAGGATTTGAAATCACATTTCCACTAAAATACAGTAACTGTAAAGAGACACAGAAAGGTTAAACACTTCTAGAAAAAGAAATGACAGAATCAATGTTCATTTTGTCAAATATTGGTATTTAATTTAAGAAGAAATTACACATCATTACAAAGACACTTCTTAGATTTTTTCATCAGTAGTTCATAAAATGAAAACGGTTGATGAAACAGATTAAATGGATTAAAGGTCAAAATATTAGTTTTAAAAGATTATATTCAAAATTGCACATTTATTTTAAAATTAGGACTCAGAAAACTGGCAGTAAATCCTGTTTTATTCTCCAATATTTCCATCCTCTGCAATTCAGCCACAGATCATCTGGAATGATTCTTCTTTAGGAACTGTCTCATCAGAAGTCATATTGGGAACTGATCTGGCTGATTAAAATATAGCAGATGCTAACAGTGAATAACTGAACAACCCGCTGGACAGTACAAACAGCAGCTCCACTCACTGCATCATTTTCCATCACTAATTAGTTCCAGAAACCCAGAACTTCACAGCCCACAGATCCTGAGGAGGCAGCCTGTTTATCTGGGACTAATGAACTAAACTGTTCAGATCAGACGAAGAAAAACTACATTAGAGACACAAAGAAGAAACAGGACAGAAAAGCTTGGAGATAGAAATGTTCAATCTTCCTCTGATGGTGAGATTAAAGGTATAGAGGATGATCTTTTATTTCCAGGTGGATCATGTAAATAAGTGGTCCTCCTAAAAGTCAAGCGTTCTGGTGATAATTTTACATAAGGCCGTTAACGTGCTTGTGCCGTTTGCTAACTTTTTCTGTACATGTGCACTTTCAGGCTGATATACGTGGTTTCAGTCATTGAAGCTCATCTTTCTCACCATGGTTCGTTGAAAATTGCCGAGGGTCATAAGAGGAAAAAGTCTCTGCGAAGTGCATGAGAAGAAAAGAAAGGCGGATATATCCCGGAAAGCTTTACGCAGAGAGCTCTCCTCGCAAAGCACTGTGGGATTTACTGTTGACGATTCCAGTCATCCAAGTCATAGTCATTCCAAAAAAATAAAATTAAAATGATCCACTGGACTTTTTTTCCAAGTTTGAAGACATTTCCCTTCCTATCCATGAAGCTTTCTCAATTCAAAATCTGGGATTACTGTCACAGCAGCGTGCTGTCCCCATAGGCTGTGGCTTCACAACAGTGGCAACTTATAACAAAGATGGAGCAGGCACCGAACATTGGAGGAGGACTTACGTTACCAACAGAGCAAAAGCCATGTGATCATCTGTCCAAACGATAAGTTAACTAAGGTCATTATGAAGTCCACTATATAGTCCCTGCTCTATATAGTGATTAAGGAATTAAGATCTTAAAACGTTTGCACGAGGAAATATGGGCTTGTCCACACTCTCACAAGCGTTTAATAGGCGTTCCCTCTCTGGAGCAGGTACAGGGTTGTGCATATGCATTTTTTTTAAGTGGAGAGGGTGGGTCTTTTCAAAAATTAACAAAAGTCCTCCACAATACCTTTAAGAGCCAGGATCAAACATTTGCTGGAAATGATGGAAACAACCAGAAAATAACCAGAACAGAACTAGCTCCAGCAGCAGCCTTGGTATAGCACTGGAATCACATTGGAAGAAAAGCCCTAACTGAAGCTTATACTTGAAACAGAACCAAACCTTTGGATCCTGGAATAATCCCATCTTCCATCTTTTAAGGACTGAAAGAGGACGAAGTTTACAAGGAATCGTTTCCAGGAGTTTCAGGAAGAAACCGACTGAATGTGAAAAGAGACAAACTATCTGTTGTACTGTGAGTTTCTCTGACTGGAGGAGACTCTTTAGACTCAACACAGAAGCACTGAAGAACCCAAATCGATGAAAAATCCAGAATAAAGAGGTTCAGTGAATGTGGTTTTGAAGGTGAAAATGTGGATCAGTGAGTCAGAGGAGACTCTGTAGAAGGACAGAATGCCAGCAGGATGGTCCACATACACTGCTACTCTGTTAGAGACAGAGGAGGAGGAGGACGAGGACCAGGAGGAGGAGATAAATGTTTCCTGCTTATTGTGCCAGACACAGTAATCTTCACCATCAGAGCATCTCAGACTCCAGGAATGATCATTCCATCCAAACCAGCAGTCA